GGTGGCCCTCACCCTGGTAAGGCCCGAGGCCTTTCCCTAGGCCTGGGAACGATGGGCTGGCGGGGAGGGGGGTGTCGTGTCCAGGTCCTGGCTGAGCTCGGGGGGGCGAGGAAGGGCTGGTGCTGAGGGGACGTGGGGCGCTGGGGGGGCTCTGCCTGCCCTGCGCTAGCGGCAGCCAAGTCTGTGGGGCGAGCAGGGTGTTTCTAGCGTGGAAAAACCCCCGAGGCCCGTCCGCTGTACAGCTTTCCGCTGGGGAAGCAGCAGCAGCAAACTACAGAGCCCCGTAGTTCTGTCTAATTTCTTTTTGAGTGCAGAGAAGCTGCTATTTATGTTGGTGTCGTTATCCCCGAATAACTCCCAGAGGGAACGTCCCTATTCTCCAGCAGAAGGAGCTTTTCCCAGCTTACCTTTAAGGCACTTCAAAGCAGTGCCAGCTAATTGGAAAAGGGCATGCTTGTCTCCAAGTAAGAGCGTATAGAGGCGTGTAGGTATGTATTTCTTAATTCATTTTGGTGTACTTTCCCCGTTTATGGAAACCAGTAGCCTAAACGGGGGGAGGGGGGGGGAATGAAGTCTCTTCATCCCGCAGGTCTGGCTTGGGTTTGAAATCTCACTTGCTGTTTTGCGAGCTCGCTGTCGGTTAGCGAACCGTGGGGTGGCCGGGGGCAGCCCAGCACTCCCCGTCACGATATCCCGTACCTCGCCCGCCGCTGTGGAAGAGCAGTAAGTCATCGTGGGATAACCCCTGTGTCCCAACCCGCTGTCACGTAGGCAGGATGAGAACGGCGTCGGGGCCGGCGCTTTCCAGGCTCAAGCCCCGGGTCGTGAAAAGCGGGAGCCATCCTGCATTGGGCCGCGGCTCCTTTCTGCCTGGCGCTTGGGGAGGGTCCCTTCGTCAAAACCCGAAGGCGGAGGGAGCGAAACGTGCTTGGATCTTTATTGTAACAGGGGGTCGGGGTGGGCTGGTGCAAAGCTGGAGGCAAAGAAGCGCTTTGGCACCTTCACAGTAGACGTAGCCGCCACTAAAGTGAGATCTGGGTGTGATTTGAGCTCTGGACTTTTCCGTCCATTTAAAGGCTCGTCACGATTAACAGGAGAAAATCCGTCCCTTTTGGACACCCGTAAAAAACAACTCGTTTCTGATTCTTGTAGACTTCTTGCCCTAAGTGTTTCCCTCGCTTTAATAGGTTGCTTCATCCAAAAAAAAAAAAAAAAAAAAATTTATTTGTAAATAAATTCCAGTTTTCTCCCGTTGAGGTGACGCCGTGGGAACGCTGAGATCTCTCTGAAGCTGGGGTATGATTAAATGCAGCCGGCGGCGTAGGAACGGGGGCTGAGCCTGAGCCCGGGCCCTTTCGGTTTGCCATATTGCTGCGGAGCACGCAAAACTTGTCAGTCTTAAGTGTATTTACACCGGTGTAACAGCGTAGGAGTAACGCAGAAACGCGTGCTGCTAGTGTAAGCATTTTCTGCTTACGGTTTTCCTTGTGTTACTGCTTGGGGAAAAAGTAATAATACCGTTTATAATTGCTTTAACGCAGGCAGGGCTTGACTTTACCTTTTCGAACGACGGTAACTTGTTTTTCCTCTGGGAATGAGTAAGTGGAAGTTGCTAGTGAAGTATAGAATAACGTGTGTACTGTATTTAAAGTACGTGTAGGGTTTGTCTCTAAATCAGGATCAGATGTCTTTCTACAGGGTCGGTGGCAGTGAATTTTCACGAACTTGGGAGTAGTTTTCTGGTGTAGATCTTGCTGCAGGATCACACTATTAGGAAAGAAATCCCGTTTCTTGCAACATCTGAAACATCTTACCACATCTACAGTAAGGAAATCATTATGGAACCAAAGAAATGGCAATGTCTTACGTATTTGCTCTTGGGTTTTGATACAAAAAGTTGAAGATCGGAAACCCCTGGCGTTTCCCACGTTAATTAGGACTTGCCGAGACGCGTTGTGGTTTGCAGTCACATTTGATGACTCCTGTGATACTTGGCAGCTTTAAAACACAGCGTTTGACAAGAGGCCAAGGCCTTTTGCTCTCGGTGGTGGGGTTTTTTTTGTTGTTGTTTAAACAGAGGCAAAGGTGTCAATAAATACTGGCGCAGCAGCTATGAAAATCGGATTTTATTGTTGTAACGTTTAAAAGGAGGGCGCTCTCAGCTGTTCTGTAGAATATAACACATGGTTACCAAATAAATCGGCAAGATTACGTGGCTGGAACTCGATGTTTGTAGCGAAGCGCCTCTGTCTCTAAAGGGTTTTGAAGCTTTGGCAGGTTTTGACGGGACCTTCCAGTTCAATTACTGCTGATTCTTGGTCAAGCCTGTGGCCTGGTCACAGGCGTGAGGGTTTTCTAGAACCAGCCCCGCAGAGTTTCGCCTCCTCTTCTCTGACCTGAGTTATCCCAGAACATCAAATGGGAGCAATAGCCTCCAGATTTAGTCTGAAAACAGAGGGTACGCTTTCAGACGGGCTTGTCCATGTGGTAACTTCTAAAAATCGCGAGCGGTGCTTCGGCAGCAGCCTAGGCACAAGGAATCCCCAAAATTAGATTTTTATTAAACACGCCGCAGCGCTTGAAGGTTTGTAGCTCCGGCGGAGAGAGCAGAAGCGCGTGCATTTAATTTGCACTTTGGCTTGTTGGTTTGAAATCCCTTTCAAAAACGGAGTCGTTAAAGAAAAAGCGAATTAAGTTTCGCATTGGGGGGGGGTGTGTGTGTGTGTGCGCCTTTGAATTTCTCGGCTAATTGATGTGGTTTTGCAACCTCATCTTCTCAAAAACACGAGCAGCACTTCCCCCTCCGTTCGCGTGGCTGGCTCCCCACCGCCCGGAGGAGCGGTCAGCGGCGGTGGGT